CGGCCATGTCGATGCTTGCCGATTCGCCGAGTCGATGTCACTGCCTCTGTTGCGCAGACTTTTGCGGAGTCGCTGCTTGGATCGACCCGAGTCGATTCATTGAGTCGATGCCAGGGCCTTCTTCCCCCTCTTTCTCCTAGATCTCCGACATCGTGATCCTTTTTTTCAGGAGCGCGGGGCCCCCAGAAGTCCCGTCCCTCTCCCTTGGATCGCTATGTTGCCCAAGAGTGTGGTTGTTGGATTGTCGTCCTGGGTTCAGCCCGACGTATAGGACGGTGGCCTGCAGACTTAGAGCATATGTAGAAACATATGTTGGATTTCGTGGAGATGCGATGCAGGTCTGGGAATTGCGCTTCCGTGTCCCGAGCGCCCCCGCCCTCAGTGGCCGTTCGGGCCGGCCTCTTCCCCAGATGAGAGACCCCGCCTGGGCTGATGCAGGACAGTAACCTCAGTGCTCACGTGACGTTCCTTACAAATTGGCTTGCTGGATATTAAGCCACGGAAGCTTTCGCTCGCCTTGGATGCATATCGGCTAAAAGCGCCACATAGTGCCCACTACCGCCACATATTCCCACATATCGCCTAATAGCGCCGAAAAACGCTCAAAGAGCGCCCAGTAGGCCCAACAGCAACCGATAGCGCTCAATAGCGCCAGGTGAGCGAGACGCTCCGCGAGTTCGTTTCCAAGATTTGAAACGTAGGCTCGGGGGCCGCCGCCACCCCAGACATCCGACTATGTTTGTTCTGTTCTTTTTCAATTGGCGGCATCAAACGTCCCGACCCCCCCAGCGGTTAGCTATTCGGACTGGATCGACGTTCAACGGTCCAGGGGCTTAGTAACGGCCCTTCCGTAGAAACCGATATTGAGAAACCCCGCAGGGATTGAAACATGAGATCGTCTTAGATTTGGGACTCTCCCGCCTCGGGGGAGGAGGAGCACGTGGATATGGAGCAGGATCGGAGAGGCTTGGGAGCAGGAGGAGAGGGCTAACTCTAGGTCTCCCCCATGGGATCCGAGTACATGGAGTAAATGGGGAAGGGCGTCCGAAGCTCCCAGATGCAGTGGGTATGCCTAGGTCGCCTGGGTGGGTTCGAATATCGCGCCGCTTGTTGTTTCTTCACGCCGAGGGCGCCAATGCATCACCGACGTCGACGATGCATCGCCGATGCATCGCAGGTGCATCGCAGGTGCATTTGCGATTCGGCGTGTTCCTCCGATACCATCTACTCGGACCCTATCTAGGAGCCTCTGAACACACAGGAGGAAAGGGGCAAGGAAGGATCAGGGTGAGGACGAGGATGAGGAGGAGGAGGAGGAGGAGAACTACGATGCGGGCAAGATGTAAGCCCATATGCACTGTATCTTTGAGGGTTGAAGTCTCGGGCTCCCTTCCAGTCACCCGAGGCGCAGTGGATATGGATAAACACCTGGCCGCTACAGATGTCAGATCGCTGTGCATGTCCCAGCCGCCTCGGCCCTGTGGACGTTCCGCGCCCGGAGCGTCCGAGGCGTGGTGGACGTGCGCACAAGCCATGGCCCGCTCAAGGGGCCCTCCTGGAGCCGCTCGCTCGTCTCGTGCGCCGGCACTGCCTCGAGCCTCCGTCGAGCTCGCGTCGGGCTTGCGTCGGGCGGGGCTCTCCGTGCGCCGCCGGCAGCTCTGCCGGGAGGGCGGGTCCCGCCGCGCGAGGTCGGCCCCAGGCCCACGGCGTCGAGGGCTCCCCGGGGCCCAGGCCGCGGGGGCCACGGCGCCGGAGGGCTGCTGCCCACGGAAGCGGGGGCGCGCCTCCTCCCCTCGGGGGGGGTGGACGGAGCCCCCCCGCGCAGAGCGCCCCGTGGCAGGAGCCCTGCCCGCAGAGCCAGGGGGGGGGAGACCCTGACCTTCCAGGAGGGCAGCAGAAATAGCACCAGGACGTCGACGTCCTAATTCCTGTCGAGGTTTGAGGCGGTCCAGACAGGTCTGTAGGTCTGGAGTGTTATTTTTCAGCACTCTGGAAGGTCAGGGGAAAGGGCGGAGGGGCGGATGGTTGGACGCCAACGCGAGGGGAGATGCCATGGGGTTCTAGGCATCCCGGGCCTGCGGGCGACTGCCCCTGGCCCAGACCCGAGTGCGGCGCAAGTTCGACGCAAGTCGAGTCGACGGGAGTTCGAGGTGGTGGTTCTTGCGCTCGAGACGGGCGAGCGGCCGCAGGAGGGTCCCCACGTGCGGGCAAGACGCATGGCCGTGTCCACCGCGTCGCGGCCATCCCAGGAAAGGGGCGCCATAAGGCCGAGGCGCAGTGGACACTGATAAAGATCTGGCCGCTGTAGGAGCCAGATGTTTGGTGCACATCCGCTGCTCGCTCCCCCTGGCGTCTGGGGAAGGGAGCCCGAGACTCCAAGGTGCAGTGGATATGGAAACACACCCTGCCCGCATTCTCGCCCACCCCCCTTCCCCCCCCCCCAGGCGTCCGACTGTCCGATGTTTTCCAAGCCGCGGCCCCAGGAGGTCCCGAACCCGTTCCCCTGGGGCACGATGTCCGACCCAGATCCCTCTTGGATGGCCCTCCGAGGCCCCACAGAACGTGGCCCGGAGGCCGACTCCGAGGAAATTCGCCTGGATTGAAAGAACACGTGGGGCGTTCTAGAGAGGCTCTCGCCTTCGAGCATCGAAGGATTCGATACCTCTTCCTCGGCAGAGGCCGGCGGAAACAGAACGATGCGGCTCCGCCAGCGGAGAGAAGCCGAAAGTCGGCGGAAGTTTACAGAAGTGAAAAACGTGGCTCTCAAGATATTGTATGTTTGTTTGGTCTCGGGGTTTCCAGTCTCGATTCTTTTGCGGAGATGCAGCTGGTGAGGCCTCGGGTGTTGCGCACAAGAAGCTCCCCCCAGGTAGTCCCGGCTGGTATCAACAGGCCCCCTTAGTAGCCCTGGGCGGTCTCAGCACCTAAATCCTGGGGGCGCGGAGCGCCCTTGTCGCCAGAGGCGGCCCCAGGACGTTGAGACTGCCCCCGACCTACTCGGGGGGCCTGTTAAGACCAGCTGGGACTGCCCGGGGGTCTTGCGTTAAGCCCGGCGTGTCCCTCTACAGGAGGAATCTTCAGAAATAGTCAGGACGTCTAGTATGGGGACGATATTTTGTTTTTTTTCTTTGCGGGGGCATTGTTTAATATTTCTAGATGTTGATGTATGTTTCTGTCAAGCTACGCCTGTAGGGGGGGGGCATGCCCGACCTGAGTCTTGCGTGCGCAACCAGAAGCCCCGCCAGGTCTGGGCTCTTCCGCCCGCGAGCGCCGCCCCGTGGCCTCCTCGTCCGCCCCGGCCGCGCGGTCCGGCGACGACCGACGACGCGAAGATCAAGCCGGCCGTGTCCCTCTACAAGGGGAGTATTCAGAGGCCCGAATCGTCAGGGGTAACTCGGGTCAGGGCTAACTCGGGTTCGTTTTTCGGAAATCCGAACCCGAGTTGCCCCGGCCCCGAGCTACCCCGGATAATTCGGGCGTCCAGAACCCCAAATCATCAGGGGTCATTCGGGTCAGGGCTAACTCGGGTTCGTTTTTCGGGAATCCGAGCCCGAGTTACCCCGGGCCCGAGTTACCCCGGACAATTCGGGCGCCCAAGGTATACAAAAATAGTCAAAACTGGTCTGGGTAATATTTTGTCAAACCATAATGTTTGCCTGCGGGTGGCTCTCTTTTGTTCTTCCTCTTGCACGCGGGAAAGTTTGCAGTGCCGTAGCCCGGGTTGCTTGGACGCTCGAGCGGATGGCCCCTTCGGCCCATCCTTGGCCGCTCTCCCTGTTCGCGCCCCGCTCGCAGAGTGTCGACGTGGCCTTCCAAGGCCCTCGCATCCTGACCGTGCGTCCTTAGAATACGGGTTGACTGTGGTCTAGTGTGTGTGTGTATGCGCCCAGTACGGCCCTTGCGGGCCAGCATAACACCGCCTGCGACGTGTGGAAGGACCTCGACGGACAGGCACAAAAGGGGGGTTAGGGAGGGGGGGAAGGCGGCTAAGAAGCACCCCTGCTCCTTGGACGGCGCGGGCCGCATCTGTGGAGACAAGGCCGGCGCCTTCTCAGGAGCAGCCTCCCTCCTTTGTCAGGAGGGGAAAAAACATGCAGACACACCTCATCGTCGGCCCCCAGGAAACCATCGGCACAGATGGGAAGTGAGGGGAAGACGAGAGCCCGGAGAATCTCTCTGGAAGTGGGGGGGGAAGCCTTGGATCTGTGCAGCTTTGCTTGCGTGCCCCCGGGCCCCCTCCCTTCGAGAGGCCTGCCCCCCCCCCCCTCCCCCCCCCCGCCCAAAGCCCCCTATCGTGCGCGCCGCGGGGCCCCCCCGGTGGACACGCACGCGCTTCGGTGGACACGCCCGTCCCCGAGCCGGCGATTCCAGGGGCCGGGACCCTGGGGGTTCTGCACGAGCGAAGTGGGTACAGAGAGAGCGGGTACACTGCCCACCAGCAGTGCCTGTTCATTTCGAACAGGACTCGCTGTCCGCGCAGCCGCGGCCTGTGTCCATGTGAGGCCGAAGGCCGCCTGCCCAACAGCGGCCGCTGCCTGTTCGGGGCAACACTTGTTGTTGGGCACTGTGCCCATTCTTTCCGTGCCCATTTCGGGCGTCCAAAGGTCGGGCCGGGCGAAAGGGGGGGATTGGGAAAGGGGGGGTTACGAAATTTGCTGCATGCAGTTGGTTTCGGCCTCACCGAGGGGCCCATTCCTCGATACATTGGCACCTCCCGGCGCTGGGAGGCGCCGGGAAAATCAGCTACGCGAGCTGATTCTCAACCCCCCCCTTTGCTATCCCCCCCTTTCGCCCGACCCGAAAAGGGGTGGGGGGGGATCCTCCACTCTGGGGCCCCGAAACACCCACCCGCCCACCCCCAGCCCCGACTCCCCGAGCATCGCGGCTTCGGGGATGGAGTCGGGGCCGGCGGGTGGGGGGGGGGCTTCCGCCCTCTCCGCGCTGGCAGCGACGCGCGCTCGCCTCGGGGGGCCAGCGGCCCGAGGCCCACCCTGCCCGCCATGGCCACCTCGCCCGCCCGGGCCGCGCCGCCCCGGGCCGGCGGCGCGGCGGGCGGCCGCGTGGCGCTCGTGCTGGGGCTGCCGCCGGGCTTCGACCTCGCGGCCGCGGCGTGCTCGTACGGCTTCGTGATGCTCCTCGGGGGAGCCAGAGCCCCACGGTCAAGGCTCAGGGGAGGAGGAGGTGCCCACACCTCTCCTCTTGCCTTGTTCTCCCCCCTGTTCCGTCCTCCTCGGAAGCCTGCGTCGCCACCACTGGATTCGCTTCGAAATCCTGGTCAGAACGCAGTCCAGGAGAGGTCCGGGGCGATGCGGTATCAGTACTCTTTGGTGTCCCGCAAAGCAGTGGCGAAGCGTCCTGACTTGCCCAGAACCCTTCGAAAGAGGGTCAGAGCTCCCCACCCGGCAGGTAGGGCTCGTCAGATCTGAAGAACGGGCCTCCCGACCCGCTCACTCTGCATACCGCGGCCGCCAGATCCCCAGGTCCACCGAGAGTGCCCGGGACTCCCGTCCCTCCAGACCCGGCCCGCCCACTCTGCATAATTACCGCGGCCGCCAGATCCCCAGGTCGACCGAGAGTCCACGAGATTCACGCTCCTCCACACTTATCTCGCCCACTCTGCATACAGCGGCCGCCAGATCCCCAGGTCCACCGTTAATCCCCGAGACTCCCGCGCCGATTGGCATGACGGAAAGTTACTCAACATCAGATCATAACAACACGTCTAATGATGTAACATCGCATGGCAATTCGTGGTAGCCTGACAAGACATAGCATAATTGAGGATTACGATTAATAAATGACCAGGGGTCGTGTTCACGCGGCGGCGCCCGGGACGACGATTAGAAAAAAACCGGCCGCGGGTTGGAAGACTATGTTTTTAATCGTTCTTCTCCAGTCAGAAGATTGTGCAGAAATAGCAAAAACTATGTTTTAATCGTTCTTTCCCTTTTCTATTAATCGTCATCCCACATTACCATAAGACATCGCCACATGACAGGGCATACCATCGCATAGCCACGGATGCCATGGCAGAGCGGAGCACACGTAACGTACCATATTCTGACAGCGCGTGACAGAACAGCGCATGCCATACAATAAGTGCACATGCCATATCATCACATGGCTTGACACAACATCGAGTATCAGCACTGTGCAACATTTAATATCATTCCAAATATTTGCATGACGCAGCACGGCTCATACGATACACAGCGCGACATAACAGCTACTACGAAAACAGGACATACCATCACATAACATGCCATACAAACATATTCGTTAGCCCGCGCGGGCCCGAAGCAGGTGTATGTCGCAATGTACGTTGTGCCATACATGTGGAGACGTGTGGGTGCATTAATATCGTGATGCAACCTATGTTATGACATCTACGTCGTGCGCAAAATGAGGTGCCCACCTTTTCGAAACAACCCATGTGACATACTACGCGTTGTGCAAGGGATGTGGTGCAATGTGTGCTTCGGGATCTAGGTGGAACAATCTGTGTGGTTCGAACTGCATGTGATCCCATCAGCGTGGTGTAATATCTGAGGTGATAGTGGCGTGGGGCAGTGCCTGCGGTGCAATCTAGAGCTTCCATGTGTGTGATGCGATTCATGCTGTACCATCGACGTGGTGCCACCTGCGTGGAGCAATGCGGAATCGACCTTGGATTACGGTGCCAAGGAGTCGTTGGCCCTTCCTCGTAGGGCTCAGGGGGCCCCTCCCCTTTGCCGACGGGCGCCGCAGTTTTCCACCTTTGATTCTGGGGCCCAGGCATCGTGGGTGCTTTCACTGTGAACCCGAAGGGATCGGGCGCCGTGGGCTGCCGCGGTCCCATGGGCCCTGGCCCCGGAATCAAGGGAGTCTTGCGCCCTTTCGTCGGGGGCCCTGGGCTCGGGATCCGTGGGGCCCCAGGCGCTGGGGCCACCCGCGCGCGCCAGGCTTGCCCCCCCCCCCCCCCTTCCCCCCCCCGACATGCCAACGAACGAGGCCACCGAAAGATGCCACGAAATCTGGCAGCTTGACATCGCCAAATCTTCAGCGAAGGTTGGGTGAATTATGTGTAGTTTTGTTCTGCACAGTGCGGAATGCCAATCGGGGCGTCGAAGGGCAAGGTTCGGAACCCGTACTCGGCGCGATGCGGGGCCCTATGCAGGCCTTCGACGGGCAAAATTCGGAGCGGGTGCGCGGCCGCCGCAGGCAGGAGTCGGATGTGGGATTCGGCTGCACGGGTTGTGTTCGGGGCCGTTTTCAACAGCCGCTTCCGGAAGCATTGTTTCAGGCCTCCTGGGAGCTGCCCAGAAGCTCCTCACGATCACCGCAGGGGCTCGCAGAGCTCCGCGTGAAGGAGTGGGCCTCGCGCAGAAGACTCCCGGGACCGCTTGGCGAGCCCTCCGGGGGCTTCTCATGAGCCTTTGAGGTGGCACCGGGCGCCTCCGTAGGAGCCTTAGCTTTCGGATGAGGTTCTCGGAGATTTCCCCGCGGCGCCCGAGTCCGAGCGCGAAAACAAACGGGTTCCTTCGGGGATGTCCCATGATCTTGTGTAATATGTCTTGCTCCTCCCCCTGCTCCTCGTCCTCGTTGTCGCCCCCCCCTCTTCCCGCCCCCCCCCGACCGTGGCTTGTTTTTATTTGCTTCGCGTTGTCCTGGTCGCGCTCCGCCCCTCGTCTTCGTCGTCGTTTTCTTCCCTGCCCCCCTCGCCCGCCCCGCCCTACCTGCCGTGGCCTCGCGCGCCCCTCGCCGCCAGCCTCCTCGCGAGCCCTCGTGCCCTGATTTTCCGTGCTTCGGCGCGCGCTTCCTCCGTCGGGTTCGCCCTCTGCTTGCGCGTCAGTCTTTCCCACTTGTGTCCTTCTTTCTCGCGGCCTTTTCTGGTACCTTCCTTCCGCTAATGTATGCATTTTCTCCATGCCGCTTTCTGCCCCCGTTCCCCTCTCCGTCTCGCACGCTTCTTGTTACCCGTCTCCTGCCAATCCCCCCTTTCGGGCACCTGTCTTTTTTTTTTGTTCGTCCGCAGGCCCGCCCCCCCGAACGCGAGCGTTAGGGGCCCCCGGGCGATCCGAGCTAAGCCGGGGCAGTCGCGCTTTCGCGCGCGCGGGCTGCTTTAGGTCGTCGGCGTCCTTCTCCCCCACTCCGTGCCGGCGCTTGTCTGGCTGGGGCGCCTTCGCCACGCATGGGGGCGCACTGTTCTGCGCCCCCGCGCGCGCTGGCGCCCGCGCGGTTGCGGCGCGCGCGCGCGGGATGCCTCGAAATCGTCGTCGCCACCGCCCCTCTCTTGCGAAGGTTGGGATTGTCGCGCAAGCGCGGCGCGGTGGTGGCGCGTTGAGCGGTGCTGCCGCAAGCTGCGCCGCCCACGCTGTTGTGGCGTGCGCGTGAGGGTTGTTGTCTTGTACCGGTCGTCGTTGTCGTTGTCGATGTTGTTGTCGTTGTCTTCGTCGTCGTTGTCGTCGTCGTCGTTGTCATCTTCGCGTTCGCGGCCTCACGAAAGCGGGCGCAATGCCCCCAGCGCTGCGCCGCGAGCCCCCCCAAAAAACCATGTCGCGTGCATCTTTTGGAAGGCAGTTCAGCCCGACGAAGCTCGAACGCCGGATCAGGCGAGACCGCCCGAACACATATGTTATGATTGTGACAACGAATCCTTAGACAGCGACCAGCCATTTTGATCAATCTGGGATAGCAAATAGTAGGAACACATAATTTTCCAAAACAGAAGAAAAGTGATTCCGAATAGGCTTAAGTAGGAAAAGTAGTTTCACATAGGACATAGTTTCCCAATGTAGACATAACAATTCAATACCAATTTGCGGGTTGATCCGGACGCGCGCTGCGAATGTGTCGCATTGCAGCCATCATTGCCGCGGCCATCCTTGGCGCGTTGCGCTGCGCCGCGTTGCTTGAGGTTCGCAGGCGCGGGGCCGCGCTGCGCGAAACAAGCGCGTAGTGTTGGGGGCCATCAGTGCAGGGTCGCAGCGCCAGCGTCTTCTTGTAGTCTACAGGGCGGCCCGCGGATTCCATAGCGCGCGGCGCTTTCTGCCCTTTGCAGCTTTTTGATCGGGGCCGAGCAATTGGCGGAACCCCGCCCGCCAGGCCAGCGCGCAGTTGAGATGGGTGTGTCTGGAACCTTGCGCGGGGCCGGGCAGGGACATTATTTCGCCGATTTTTGAAGCAATTTCGGGGCGCCCCCCAGGCCTGCCAGGGGGCCGCCGGGGCCCCCCACGGGCGCGCCGCCCGCCCGCGGCCCCGCCAGGGAATGGCCGGGCGGCCGGGGTCGGCGCCGAGCTGGCGCGGCCAGGCCCAGATTTGCGCGCGCCGGCGCGGCCCGGGTCCGGATTTGCAAAACGCGTTGGCGCGGCTGGGCCCAAATTTGCACGCGCCGGCGCGGCCGGGCCCGGACTTGCAAGTCGCGCCGGTTCGGCCGGGCCCGGATTTGCAGAGCGCGGCGGCGCGGCCCCGCCTGAGATTATAAAATGCGCCAGCGCGGCCTGCCCGGATACGCGAAGCAAGCCGGCGCCGCCCGGCTCAGAACTCCCGCGCGCCGGCGCCCAGAGGCGCCGGCGGGCCGCCAGAGGGGGGTCAAACAAATATTTTAAAGCTACTTTAAAGCTATATATTCTCCTGGGGCGCCCGCAGGGCCGCCAGAGGGGGAGCTAACAAAAATTACTTCCCGGAGCTACGCGCTAGAAAAAGCTACATGAAGGCTAGATAGAAGAACTGCGAAGAGCGAGTTTGAGCTAGAAGAAGCGCTAGGAACAACTACCCCAAGCTATATCGGAATTCCTTTTTCGGCTCGCCGGGGCGCCCATGGGGCCCGCCGGCGGGTCGCCGGGGTTGGCGGAGGGCCCCCCTGCAGGCCGAGCCCGCCGGCGGCTGGCTGGAGGGGACCTCCGGCGGCTGCGGGGTCCGCATGGGGCCGGCGCGGCCGGTTTGGGTCCATATTTGTAAAACGCGCCGGCGCGGCCCCATCCCGATTTTCGAAGCGCGCGGCCGGCCCCAAATTAACAGTGGCGCGCCGGCGCGGCCGGGCCGACGATGAAACGCTCGGGCGCGGCCGGGCCCGAATGCCCGATGCGCGCCGGCGCGGCCGGGCCTGGCGCGAACGATGGGAGGGGGGGGGGGGGGGGGGGGGGGGGGGGGGGAGGAGGAGGGGGTGGAGCAGCAGGAGGAGGAGGAGGAGGAGGAGGAGGAGGAGGGGAGGGGGAAGAGGAGGAGGAGGAGGACGGGGGAAGGGAAGGAGGAGGAGGGAATGGGGCGAGGAGGAGGGGGCGGTGGCGGCGGAGGAAGACGACGACGGCGAAGGGGAAGGGGCGGGAGAGGCGGGCGACGGGTTCGCGGCAGGAGGAGGCGCCGCCGCGGCACAGCAAGATGGGCGCGCGGCGGGTAGGGGGGGAGAGGTCGGGCGAAAATGGGGGATGAAGATGAGGAGGGGGAGGCCGAGACGTGGAAGGGGATGGCTGGCGAAGGGGCTGAGGAGGGAAAGGTGGACGAGGCGTTGGGCCGTGTCGCGTGCAAAACCGCGCCGCGACCATCGCCGTGGCGTCGCGCGCAGAACCCGCGCGGCATTCCTTGTTGATTTGCTGGCGCGCGGGGCCGCGGTTTGATTCGGCGCGTCGCCGTCGCGGGTCCGACGTAACCCATCCCGCGCTTGCGTTCCCGTCGCTTCGGGAGCTAAGCAGAAGCTACTTTTAATGAAATCGGAAAGCTATTTTCTCTTATTCTTTTCCTGGCTCCAGCTGTCTAAGGCCATCCGGTGACACATAAGATCTAATGAGGGTCCCAGTGCCCGCGCGCATGGATTGTTGTTTGGTCGTAGCTAGGCTATCCAGCGGCCGTTCGGAACGATCTGGGCGCCCCCTGGGGCGCTGTCGGCGAGGCGCCGCGATTGAAAAGCATCTCGAGGTTCGAACTTCGCCGAAGACCGACGGGAACGCCCGAAAACGTCGAACCTCGACCCCGGAGGCCCCCCCCCCGAACGGATCTGCTTGACCGTAGTTCGGCTCAAGTTCGATTCCAGCTCGGCCTTCACTCAAGTTCGTCGCGCGTTCGCTTCGAGTCGACGGGTGTCCGACGCAGTGCCGACTGCCGACGCACAAGACTAATTCGCAAACGGCTCCAGGAAGGCTGCGAGAAACAGCATCCGACTCTCGCGGCCCCTGCGCCTGTCGAAAACAGGCCCGGTCGAGTTTAATCCAGTCCAATCCGGGTCTATCCAGCTTCAGCCGGGGCTTCTTCCTGGGCCGGTCTGGCTCTCTGGCCGCGCCATCGGGTTTCATAGCCTTCAATCGTCCATTCCGAAGACCTCCCAGAAGTTGCCTCCTGATGTTCGTGCCGCTTTTGCTTCCCCGACACCTCGCGCCGAACCGCTGGGACCCCCGGTCGCAGACGCTTTCGTCAGATGCTCGTTGTGGGGACCCTCCTGGAGCCGTTCGCTCCACTCATGCGCCGATGCTGCGCCGAGCGTCTGTCGAGTTCAGTCGATTTTGCGTCGAACCTGCGTGGGACTCGAGTCGGGGTAGAGTCGAAGTTCAGTCGAGCTTCGCTGGTTCGGCTCGAGTCGACGGACGGTCGGCGCAGCACCGCCGCGTGAAACGAGCGAGCAGCTCCAGATCCCGGGGTCCGACGACGCGGCAAAATTGCAACATCGTGAGGAATATCGCCCTATAGAACCCATAGACAACCAGAGCCGTATAGACCCCATTTTCTTGCTGCATATATGCCGGGCCGGATCGATATCTGAGATTTCCGAGGGGCGAAATCGGGCGGAAACGCCCGGCGCGGAGAAAAAATGCGACGACAGTATCGTAGGACCGGCCCAACCAACCCATTGAGGTTCTCGGGTCATAACTCGGTTGTCCAGCGGCTATTCGTGACGACCCTGGGCACCCGGGAGCGCTCTGGGCGAAGCGCACCTGCCGGAAAGCACCCCGAACCTCGAACACCACAGAGATCCAGCGAAACCGCCCAAAAACCTTGAATCTCTCTCAAGGGAGGAAGAACCACCCAGACCGGACAATTGTCGTTTACTAAACGACCCTGGGCGTTTACTAAACAGCCCCGCCCTGTTCGATTTCTTCTTTGGGTGCGTTTACTAAACGGCTTCGCTTGTCGGGGTGGTTATTATCGGGGTGGATTTTCTGCCCTCTACTCTCGACCGGCTCCAGGAAGGTCCCCAGAACGGGCATCCGGCTCTCGCGGCCCCTGCGCTTGGCGGACGGGCAGCGGGCGGTGTGGGCGGCGCTGCGGCAGCGCGCCTGCCCGCGCGCGCTGGAGGTGCGCGTGCCGCGCGGGTGCCCGCGCCTGCGCACCGCGGACGTGCGCGGCCTCGAGGCGCAGGTCTGGGCTGATGGTTCGAGCCGAGCCGATGTTTGAGCCGAGTCTCAGAGGAGGAAAAGGTACCCATACCGCTGCCCTTCGCCCGTTTTCCTTTTCTTGGGCCTCCTGGGCATTCCTCGTCGCCACCGCTGGATTCGCCTCGAGATCCTGGTCGGAACGCGCCCCGGGAGAGAGCCGGGGGGTAGCGGTATCGGTATCTTTTGGTTTCCCCAGAGTCGGTACGTTAGGTTCGCATCGTGTCGAATGGCGGCGATCCCGCCGCGGGCGTTCAAGGTTGGACGCCGCCGGCGGCCGAGAACCGGCCTACATGGAACGATCGGGCGGTCGAGAAAAGCTGACGATCGTTCAAGGTTGGAAGATCCACGCGGTGTCAGAAACCAACGCCGCGGTCGTTGCGACACGAAGTTGCAGTAATTGTACTGTTCGGTGCCGAAGTTGCGGTGCCGGTTCGAGATTGATCTCGATTTTCAGAGTGCACTAGCGTCGACGAGCGCCTGGTAATCGATGAGATCGCGTCGAATTGGCTTCGATCATCGTCGGTTGAGCGTCGATGTAGCGTCGACTCGCGTGGATTAGCAGAAGCCAGCAGGGTAGTGTCGAAGCTTCCCGATGAGTTGCCACCGAATGATTGGTTGTTCAAGCAGATGTTCGAAACGATATTTGATTCGATTAAATATAGTTCGGTGCCGATTTCGGTGTCAGGTCGAGCTCTTTGCCGATGTCGATGTCGAGTTCTGTGCTGATTTGAGATCTACTTTGATCCGATCGATGTCAGTCTCGATTTCGGTGGGGCCATGAACATGTCCACTGTGCTGTGTTATGTGGCCGCCCGCCACTTGGTGGCAAAAGGGCGGCCCAAACACTGAGTATATAAATGCATGAGCATAAATACATGTTCGTACTTACATATGTATATCTACATGCTGCATGTGTATACATTATCACGTACCTGCATGTTGTATTCATATTGCATATTCAAGTTGTATGTGGGTAGAATATCTTATATCCATATTTGTATACACATGTTCGTATCTACGTGTTTGTTTCAGCACCAGCCGCCCGTATAACCAGCCACAATGTTGACCCCGTATGTTGTCCTGTGTCGTTTTGCGAAGCCCCATGGCAGCGATCAGATGCCTTAGTGCTTATCTATCTCTCTATATATACATATATGTATAGACACGCGTGGCTCTCAATTGGCTGCGGTGTCGATACCTGGTTCGATCGGATATCCAGTTCGGTTTCGAGTCCCCAGTTCTGATCCCATGTCTGTCTCGATCCGATCTGACCGATGCTCGATTTCGCCCGTCTCGATCCGCTTCGGTTTCGATTTTCAGCGATCAGGTGCAGCCCGATGCTTGCATGCCGCTGCTGGCCATGCTCCGATCCGGCTCGATCTCGTCCTCGTGCCGATGCAGCCCGATCCGACGCAAATTCCGATTCTACAGTCAAGGCGCTGAAATATGCACCGTTTCGCGCTCAGGAGGGCTCTGGTTTTCGGGCCGTTCCTCAGATCTGGATTAGAACACCTATACGTGGCCGAGGCTCGCTGCGGCCAGAGGGCCAGAGGAAGACCCTTCGTTCCTTATTGGGGAGGCCTCACGGCTGGTGCAGCCGACCCTGAAGGGACGACGATGACGACGACGACGACGACGACGACGACGACGACGACGACGACGACGACGACGGCGACGGCGACGGCGACGGCGACGGCGACGGCGACGGCGACGGCGACGGCGACGGCGAGGACGACGACGACGACGACGACGACGACGACGACGACGACGGCGACGGCGACGGCGACGGCGACGGCGACGGCGACGGCGACGGCGACGGCGACGACGACGACGACGGCGACGACGACGACTCTGGCTCTCTGGAGCCCTTCTTGGGGCTCTCTTGGGAGCCTGTTGGGCCCTGCTGGGGAGCCCTTCGTGGGGCTCTCTTGGGAGCCTGTTCGGCTCTGTTGGGGAGCCCTTCTTGGGGCTCTCTTCGGAGCCTGTTGGGCTCTGCTGGGGGGGGAAGCTTTTCATGGCCACCTGGAGTGTCGCCTCGGAGCGGCCATTTCGCTTTCCTGCTTCGGCGCTCCCTCGGGTAGCACGACTGCTTTAGATGCTCGTTTGGGGGACTTTCTTGGGGCCCACCGAATGGATCTGCTCGACTCCAGTTCGACCCCACTTTGATTCAAGTTCGACTCAGAATCCACCCACGTTCGACTCAGGGTCGGCTCGCATCGACGGACGTTCGACGCAGCATCGACGCACGAGCGGAGCGCGTGTCTCCAGGAAGGCCCCCCGAATGAGCATCCAGACTGCTGCATCCGCTTGCCCGTTTCGATGCTGACTCGTCCCTGACAGGTCCGCCGCATGCTGCGGCTCCGCGCGGGGGACGCGGCGGTGGCGCGCCGCTTCGGCGCGCTGTGCCCCGACTTGGCCGCCGGGGGTCCCGTGGGCAGGCTCTTCCGCTCTCCGACGCTCTTCGAGGACCCGGCGAGGGCGGGGATTGGGGCTGCGAGCAGTGGCGAGGCGTCCTGGTTTGCCCAGGAAGGCCCACCAAGGAGTTTGCTGAGAACCTTTTTTGCGGTTTGCACGACGCGTTGTTGTGCATACTGGTTGCTCAGGCAGCCTTGCTAGAAGCCATTCAATCGGTGCTTCTGGTTTGGGAACTTCATATCGTGTTTACTAGACCATGAATGTGTTCTAAGAGCATGCTTTTTTCTAGGGAATTATCGTGGTAGGTAGTGCTATAGGAGTGCTAGGATGGTCGGTCCCTGCTCAAGCCAGGGCGGCGATCAGGAAGGAGCCGGTCGTTGTTCGTTACTTTTGCCCGTAGGAAATCACGGGAGCCCTGCCCGTCCTCGAAATTTGTTTTCTGGAGTGTACTGGCGTGCGCTAGCGTTCGGGAGTCGACGGGAAAGCGCAGATGCAGCGTCAATGTAGCCTCAACTGGCGCCGATCAGCGTCGCTTGTTATCAACTAACGTCGATTCGTGCCGATTTGCAAGAACAAGCACGATAGCATAGAAGCTCCCAGAATTTGCCGTTGCACGCTGACGAAACATGTGATGCGAGCGACGTTCGCTTGCACGTCGAGCGTCTGCCATAGCACGCGACGCTAGTTCCCGCCCGCTTAGCATCAACTGGCGCCGATGAGTGCCGGTTCGCAAGAGCCAGCAAGATGGCATGGACGGCTCCCATACATGGCCGCTGCACGCTGACGGAACATGTGATGCGCGTGACGCTCGCTTGCACGCTGAACGTCTGCAATGGCACGCCGACGCTCGTTCTGGCCGTCTCGCAGCCCGCATCGCCGAGCGCATTCTACTACTCGCAGAGTGCCTACTCGCAAACGTCTGAAAAGCACATGTCTGTTTTGATGTAATATATCGTAGATCCACCGCGGGGGATCCGGGCCATTTGCGAGTAGTTACTTTCCGAGTAGTGAAACGTGTAGGGGAACGTGCTCGTCTATCGCAAGTCAGCGGCACCGTAACGGGCACTCACCAACGGGTACTTTGGAAAGTTGCCGAGCGTTGCCACTCTAGGGCCCCTTCTTTTCATGGCAGCGTGGCCCGCATCGGGGAGGATTGGGTTCGCCTGTGGGAGGACATGCCCGACCCAAGACGAGTGGGTGGCCCTCCGTGTGGCTCAGGAGGAAAGAAACACGCAGACACAATGAATCGTCGACTCCCCCGAACATGCGGGAAAGCATGGGAAGTGGAGGGGCATACAAAAACCCAGAACCTGTGGGAAAGCTATGGGGAATCTCGTCCTTTGTGTGTACACCTTAGGCGATGCTTAAGAAAACTTAAATTTTCGGCCAGAGTCTCGATTATTCTTAATGTTTCAATGTAAATCCTAAGATTTGAATGGGAACTTTAGGTTTTTATTCAAGTTCTGAGACTATGAATTTCTTAACCCATGATTTCTTAAGCATTTCGCAGGGTGTATTTGTTTGTGCGTCCCAGGGCCCCTTCGGTGGCGCCCTCTCCGCCCCCCCCTCCCCCGGCAGCCTCGCCGCCGCGGAGGCCGCCCGTGGCCACACGGCTCCCTGCGGCTGCGTGGCGAGCCCTGCCAGCTCGCAGCGATCGCCGCTCGCAGCTCGCCCCTCGTCGTCGTCGTCGTCGTCGACGTCGTCGTCGTGCTCGCTCCTCGTCGCCGTCGTCGTCGGCGTCGTCGTCGGCGTCGTCGTCGGCGGTGTCGTCGTCGTCGTCGTCGGCATCGTCGTCGTCGTCGTCGGCGTCGTCGTCGTCGGTGTCGTCGTCGTCGGCGTCGGCGTCGTCGTCGTCGTCGTCGGCGTCGTCGTCGGCGTTGTCGTCGTGGGCGTCGTCGGCGTCGTCGGCGTCGTCGGCGTCGTCGTCGGCGTCGTCGTCGGCGGTGTCGTCGTCGTCGTCGGCGTTGTCGTCGTCGGCATTCGGCGTCGTCGGCATCGGCGTCGTCGTGGTCGTGGTCGTGGTCGCTGGTCCAGTCGACGAGGCGGCATCGGTCCCCCCCGCTGGGGTTCATTTGGATGCAGACATCCGGCGGCGAGCGAGGGGGGGAGTGAGAAGGAGAAGGCCATCCCAGAAGGCGGCGGGACTGCTCAGATGCCCTCGCGCCTTCTTGGAAGTTTGTGTCCGTCCTCGGGGGAAGGCTGAGAAAAGTTCTCAGAAGGCCGTGGTTCATCCGAGCCTTCTGAGAAGGCCCCTTCTCACTTCCCCACCGTGCTTGCCTCCGAGACATCCTTCGGAGTCTGAACTCGTACGGACATACTCATACGATGTGTACGTCGCCCTCCCCCCCAGGGGCGACGCGCGCGCCGGTGCCGAGAAGTTGTACTGTATGAGTTCCGTGGCGGGCGTTCTCTGGCTATACCGCTCCGGTGACGATATGCTACAAGATCGTTACCCTATGTGTTCGGGTCGGACGCGCGCCTCCGAGGAGGCCACATAGTAGTAGCATTCCAGCCAGCGTTGTAGCCATTTGACCTGCGAGGGTACGGTAGGCTCGTGCCGTGTCGACCGGCGGCGACCCCGCCGCCGGCGTTCAGCGTTGAACGCCGTCTGCGATCCAGACTCGATCGATGCTGAAAAGGGTCCGACGTCTTTCGTGAACCCGAGCAGTTTCTTTGGGTGGAGGACAAAGGGTAAAATCTGAAATCTCGTTTCGATGGATTCCCGAGGCTTGAATCTGCAAGAGGTGAATCACAAGACGGATTCAATTTTCGAGGTGCGCAAGCCCATTTGGATTTCACCTTGAGCCCTCCACCCTAAGAAAATGCTCAGGTGAACGGCCGTCCGTTCCAGGCCGAGCGCTCCCCGCGGCGTCGGGGGCCCTGCGCCGGCAGTCGGCACGGCCCGCGCCCTCCGCAGGGTCCGCGCGGGGGGCTCGCTGGGAGCGGCTGGGTGTCCGCAGCGATAGGCAGCCGCCGCCCCTCGTCGTCGTCGTCGTCGTCGTCGTCGTCGTCATCGTCTTCGTTGTCGACGTCGTCGTCGTCGTGCTCGCCCCTCGTCGTCGTCGTCGTCGTCGGCGTCGTCGTCGTCGTCGGCGTCGCCAGGAACGGCTGGGTGTCCGCAGCGATAGGCAGACGTCGGCAAAGGGGGGGGGGCCTCGCCCGGGAGGGAGCCGGCCCGATGCTGCACCCGATGCTTCGGCCTCGGCGGGGGAGCCGCCGCGCGGCCTCGGCGGGCCCTCGAGGGCGCGACGTTCTCGACGCCCCTCGAGGGCCCTCGAGGGCGCCCTCGAGGGCCGTTTTTCCTCCAGGAGCAGGGGCGCCCTCGAGCTCGAGGGCGCGGCGTTCTTCGCGCCCATCGCGCGTGGCGGTGCGGCTCCGACGTCTCTCCTCGTCCTCCTCGTGTCCTCGCTTCGTGTCTCGCGCCGCGCGCAGCGCGAAGTTCGGCGCCCTTGGAGAGGACCTGGTCAAGACGGTGACCCTCTGCAACTGCGGCTGGGGCCGCACCATCTCCATGAACGAGGCGCTGCCCCGCCGCCCTCCTCCCACACTCCTCCTTCGGGCGGTGGTGTCCAAGGGGTGCCTCCTCCTCCTCCTCCTCTTCTTCCTCCTCCATCTCCTCCTCCTCCTCCTCCTCATCCTCCTCCTCCTTCTCCTCCTCCTCCATCTCCTCCTCCTCCTCCTCCTTCTCCTCCTTCTCCTCCATCTCGGCTCAAGTGGGATGCATCAACCCCCGATCGCCTAACCAGGGGCCCGATAGGGGCCCGACAGCCCCACCCCGTCCAAGAACGTGCGGATTCGCTACCGCGAGCCTCTCGCCGTTCTATCGGCGATGTATCGCCGGTTCCGGGTCAACATTCCCACCCCCTGAGCCAGCCCCCCCCGAGTGTATCGTTCCGCCTCAGGTGTGTGTGTGTGTGTGTGTGTATGTGTGTGTGTGCGGCAGGGGGTACTAGTAAAAGGGCACGCGCCAGGGGCCTGCGCGAGCTGCAGGCAGATATCTGGCAGCGTCGGCCACGAGTGGTGGCAGATGTGTGTAGTGCTAACGATTGCCACGGTGGCGTGGCCAACTGTAACCGCTGGAGGAGCACTGTGGAGATTATGTCGGGGACATGAGGCGTACTGCAGGGCCAGCGAGGAGCATTGCAGGGAGTATTGGCCAGTGCACAGTTTGCAAGGGCAGATAGGTATGGAGTGCAGCTGTGTGCCTTTCATCGGGTCCCCCAAAGATCCCATGGGATCGGTCAGGCTTCGGGGCCAAACCTCAACTCTTGTTTCCATGTTGGAGCGGGCACCAAGCCGTGAGCGTGAAGCCGCTGTGGCCGCCAGGGTCTCGCTCACGTACAAGTCGCACTTCCCAAACGCGCGTGTTCTTGGATGCTCATTCTTCCGCTTCTGAGCGCCTACTTCCTTCTCCCTCCGCGCGGCCGCCCTCCTCTCCTCCTCATTCTCTTGCACGCTGGACAATTTGCCACTCGGTGCCCCCGATTAGCCCGACGCTGGTGCGGATCGCCTCCGCCTCGCTGCCGACGAAAAAAGTGTTTGGATGTTCCTCGTTGACCGCTATGTTTGCCGATGCCGGCTATGACTGGCCTCATGTGTTCCGTGGACACTCGTCTTGAATGTATCCAACATTTAATACGGATGGAGGGCAGTCCGCTATCCCAGTATTCGTGTTTAGGTCACCCTTTTGGCCAAACATTCCACACTGCGCAACAGTTTCGTGCACAGGTGGAGGGAGCTTCTTCTCATAGCAATGTTGCCGCTTGAGACCCCATCAGGCTTCAATGCCAGACGTGTACAGCTTGATAAATAGATGCTCGGATTGAGGGCTTCTCTTGTTCACGGCAGGGCTCGCCGGATTTTTTATCGGACCGTCAAAACCCATCTCGTCGCCAGCCTCT